CGCCGCCTCCGCCGCCGCTGCCGCCGCCGCCGCCGCTGCTCCTGCCCGGCGTGACCACGGCCGCCGCCGCCGCCAGCGTCCCGGGAGCCGGCGCGGGAGGGCCGCCCGCCGTGCTGAAGGAGGCCGTCGAGGCCGTGGTGCGGAGCTTCGCCAAGCACACGCAGGGCTACGGCCGCGGTGAGGACGGGGGGCGTAGCCTGGGGAAGTTCTCTTGCGCCTCTGAGCGCGTGCAGAGCGGCGGCTCCCCGCGCGGAGCAAAGCGGCAACGGGCGCGGCCTCTCGGCTTGGCCTCCCTTCGCGGGTGGCTGTGACGAGCGGGACGGGCGCGGCTGGAAGAATGAGGGTTAGCAAAACGAACATGTCACAGGTCCCTAAGTGTCCCTGAGCATGTTCAGAGAGCCTTTCTCTTCCGATAGGCAACTGTTTATTTCAGTTTGCATATTCCCTTTGTTTCTGCAAGGAGCCCAGGGCAGATCATGTGATCTCTAGCTCTTCTCCACTGTATCCTCACAACAACCCTGTGCAGTAGGCGAGGTTCCATTTGAGTGACTGGCTGAAAGCCACCCAGTGAATCTCGTGGCCAGGGGAGGTTCAGACTCAGATCTCATAACTCCCAGTCCAGCTCCAACCAGACAGGTGCTTGCCTTCCTCCTCCAAAGAAAGAAAGAAAAATCTCTGAGGATGGAAGAGCATTTCTGTTCCACAGAGAGCTTTTCCTCCCAGACCAGAACAAAGTAGATTGTGAAATTCTCTTGATCATATGAAGGGTGCCTTTCCCATCTGGCAGTGTAAAGCACAGATGTATTTGAATATGTATAAACTGAGTTTCTGATGCTCTGCTCAAAGAAGGACTTAAGGTCTCTTTCTCTGTTTCTTAGAATAGGCTGCTTGTAAAGAAAAAGAATAGTTCCATATGTGGAATAGTTTTAGGTTCTGGTAGGAAACAGTATTGATTGTGTAGTCAGCATTTAGTACAAGCGATCCAAAGTACAGTGATGTGAGTAGAACCTTTAAGTGTTCCAAGTATTTGATATCTGCTATTTAGTTGCAGTACTTAAAACAACACTGCAAGGTTGCCCCAGTATTACTGTCCCTCATATAGCAGATGGGAGTGACTGAGGCTTAGAGAGACTTTCTTAGGGCCACCTAGTAAGTTCATGGCAAAAGTGAGATTTGAAACCAAGATTTCTTGTCTTGTAGCTGTTTGCTGCTATGCTACACTAGAAAAAGTATATGCACAGTGTCGCCTTTTTGCCTTTAAAAATGCAGTTTGGGGGTGGGGGAAGGAAATAACAAACGTTGACCATTCACCGTTTCCCCCCATCTCTACTTCCTTCTGCTCTGGTGACTAGCCAGGAAGAAAAAATCCAGCCAGGCCAGAAAAAAATGTGATTGCCTTTCAGTGGGATACTGAAAGTCATGTGGCCAACCCTGGGAGACCCTGAAATGCAGCCGTGTGTGAAAGAATTGCTGTGAAAGAATCGGTATCTTAGGATTCGCCTAACATAGTGAGTTAGAGTCTGCCGATATGGGTGCGTGAGGAGTGCTTGGCAGGTATAAACCTTTCCCAAGCACGAGCTGTTCTTGCAGAAAGGGGACTTGAATGGGTCAGTTCCTCTGGTCTGGGGATCTTGGAGCAGGAAGCCTGGGTTCAAATAATTGGGGAGGAATGTGCTATCCTCTTACCTCCTGCCCTTGTTTGTTTTGCTAACCTGCATACTGATAATGGATTGAAACTTCTAATGTTCCACGTAAGAATCATATTTGTTCATTAATTCAGTTTGTTTAGTGGTGTTTTTACCTCTGGGTTCTAATTTAATGTATATATACTATAACAGTAAAGGTCATTAACCTCCATAGCATCCATTGTTTCTTTGGCAGTCAGATGTTCTTTGGCTGAGACTCATTTCTAGGGGTGTAAGTCTGAAATCCTCCTGGTTTTAGCCAGCGTTGGAGAAAGGAGTCTTTCATCCTGACCAAACGTTTCCTTCAATAAGGATGCATCCTGTTCTTCCCAGCCATTTCTCTGAAGAGCAGTGTCTGCTAGCAGTGATCTAAGTCTGTTTATCTTGTGCACAAGAAGGGATTGGTTTGTTCAGACTGTTTGCTTTAGGACATATGTGTTCATGTATAGTTTGCCACACATGTTTTGTTTTAGAATTGGATGGAGGAACCCAAACTGTGAACATTCTAGGGTGACCTCAAACTTGGGTCATCCTCAAGAGCTCTTTGGTTGTCTTAAGAAATGTGTTTAAGAAGGAAGGACAATTAAAATATGAGATTTCACAAACTTCTAAATGGAAAAATGGCTTCTCCTCCTCTGGCTGTTTGATGATTCCAACATCAGCTCGCAACAGCAGGTCCAGTGGACACCATGTGTTTCAAGCGGCAAAGACTTGGAAGGCGCGCTGTGGCTGAAACGCTGCTCTCCTTTTCTGGCCTTGAAAGGCTTTGAGGCCATGTGGAACCATTTACTCTTCCCTGTTTAATATGCAATGCAGATTGTGCTGTTGTATACAAGGCAGAGACCAGAGCCTGTGATCCAAGGGCCATAAACAATGAATATCAATAACAGCAAAGTGCTTTCTTATTGTAGATGCCTGCAGCTTGGGTAGGAAGCACAAATGTGACCTGCAGCTTCTCTTACTTGCCAAGATTTTGAAGGATAGTTTCTCTCCCACTGCGTCACGCAAACGAAGGCATTTGTGCCTTCACGCAGGGGAGTTTGTGGACATCCTGTGGGTTTCATCTCAGGACAGACTCTGGTCTGCTGCTGAATTCCAGACATTGTCTTGGCCAGCTTCTCTTCCGACAGATGTGGAAGGTTGTGGCTTCACAGGTTTTGGGAAACTGCTGTGTTGTCTTCAGGTGTGTGTATCGGGAGTGGCAGGGTGCAAGATCCAGAAGACAGATTCTGGTGATGATTGCCGTTCCCTATGTGGGGGAAGATCCATCAGGACCCTGGAAAAAAGCCGTGAGGTCATCTGGGTAGAGCAACATTAAACCAGGGCCTTGGTGGAGTTGGGAAAGGCGGCAGCGGCTGTCTTCTTTTCAACAGCGGATGCACATGAGGGTTGTGTTTGGGGAAGGCCACTATTTTTTCTCTCTTGCCTTCCTGCCCTGCTCCCCATGGAGGAACAGGCAATGCAAACTCTTTGGGTTTTATCGGTAGTGCAACCTGGGAACTTTTGGCTTAGTTGAAACAAGAGGGTCACCTAGTGAGTATGATCTGAGAAGAAAGAAAGGAGAGGGGATTCGGGGGAAGGTACTGGTCATGACGGCAATATTTTACCTTCAGGAACAGAGGTAGCCTTCAGAGAGCAATGCCAAGGGACATGATAGCCTGCAGGCCCCAGTTGATCCCAGAGGAATCTGGTTGACCAGTGTGGGAAATAGGATGCGGGGCCAGGTAAAGCTTTGGTCCGATCCAGCAGCACTCTTAGGATTCTCATTCCAGTTTCCATAAACTTGGGTTTGTTTTTGCTGTTGGCATTTGTCTGGGGTTGCGGGATTTTTGGTTCAGTGAACTTCACCCTTCTTTCAGGAACAGCCGCACTTCATATTAAATGTTGGTAACAATTGGGAACAGCTGTAAGAGACCCATTGTTAGTGTTCTGCGAGACCAAATATTTGTGAATGCCAGTACTGGGATGCCTGACATTTCTTCTGAGCCAGTATATAAGGCCGACGTTGGGTGGACACGCTGGATGCAGTGTGTCCTCACAAGGATTTCTTCAACTCGCCAGCAGCCGTTCTCTCCCCTTCCCCGTCGATATTCTGAGGGCAGAGGCATCTCCCAGCCACTTTCTTTCTTTTGATGCAGCACGCATTCGTGCCTAAACGAACGCAGGCAGGGCTGCTGGGAGGGATGCCCAGGTGTGCGGCAGCTGCACAGTCGTGTGTTCCAGTCACAAGACTTGGAGGCAGCGTTCCATAACGTCCGTGGCGGAGGCCAGAGGTGAGGTGGGGCTGCCTTAGCCGAAGCCCAGCCACAGCCCCGCGCTGCCGGCGGAGGTGGCTTCTCGCTCTAGCCCTCAAGAGTGTGTGATCCTGGTGTGAGCCAGCTTCAGTCCCAGAGTGCATTGCTTTTCCACAGTATTGTGGGGGCCAGGAAGGGGTCTCTGGAAAGCTGTTATTCGTTAAGCTCTTTATCTTGTATGCATGTTTGCATACTTTGAGGTAAGCCTTGGCCAACTCTTCATGGAAACCTGGACCTCTTTGTTCGCTTTCTTTTAAACATTTGTAGCCAAGATAATCACTATTTTTACTTTGGCCACTGATGCTGTTTTTCCATCTTCCTCTTTAAGTCAGAACCTCTAAAGCAAGTTGGAGTAATAGAGAAGCAGCTTGCACATATCTTTTTAGTTGCTTCTTTTAAGGGGTCATGGGAACAGGAAAGCACTGATCCTTAACAAATGCAGGATGCAGTTGGTCTGCCTGTGTGAACCAGTGTTTGAAAGCATCATTTGACTGCAGACTTGTTACTGTAAACATTGATGGCTTGGCTAGCACATAGTCCTGTGTATCTCTCCCCCTTAATCAGTGGGACAAGATCCTATTTACTTTTAAAACAAATGTCCTGCTGTTTTGAATATATGTTAATGGGGATGAGTCTAGTTTTGTTCCTAAGCTCATCAGTTTCATAATCTTAAATATGGAACTCCTTCTTTAATAAAAACTGCTCCTCAAATGTTTCTTTTGAAAATAATCATAATAACCCAAATAATTTTGCTTGCATTACTGATACCATTTTTGCATATTGCAAATTGTTGTTCATACGATGCTGTCTTAGGCCTGCTGAAAATTGTTAGATAATTACTCTAAAGCAGCAGTCCCTTGATTGGGCATTCAAATTTTCTAATTCCCTCTTCCATGGGACCCAATGTATGGTATTTATTCATTGATATTATAGATATTTATGGACACAGAATGTGAGTTGAAGTAACTGATCAGCTTCAATAAGCATTTCTAATAACTATAAAGACTGAGAGTCAGAAGACACTATAGGGTCAAACCTGGATTCTAGCAACTGTAAATCTTGCTACTCAACCATCACAGGCAAACCGTATTTGACAGAAAATGACAAAAACTCATTATCCCCCACTAATTGATTGGAAGTAAGAATGAACTTGTCCATTCAAGTCTGGCAAGCAAGCATTTTTTACTGATTTTTATAT